TGGCACCGCCAGATTTATGGTCGGGGGGGGAGCACGGGGGAGAGGGGTTTAAAAAAAAAAGTTTCTTCTTTTTAGGGGGGAAAATAGAAGAGGGCGGAGGAGCGAGGGGGCTGCAGCCGCCGCAAACGGATTTAGAGTGAAGAAAGGCAGCCCCGAAGCGCCGGGCCGGGGGCGGCCGGCCCCGAGATGGGGGTCGCTTGGGGGGCACGAGCACCCTGCACCCTCCTTCCCCCAAACAGATTTCGCGGTTTTCGCCGCCAACGGGGGTAAATCCCGGCTCTGCTCCCGCCGTCCCGACAACGCGGCCAGGGAAGGGGCGCGATGGGGCAGCGAGGGCGAAACGGGGCCGGAGAGAGTGTGTTTTTGTGTGTGTGTGTGTGTCTTTTTTCCCTGATTTTTACCCCGTTTTCCCCCCTCTTTCGGCACAAGCCAGCCCGCACTTGGCTTGCGGCCGCGGGAGCTGCCGGCGCCTCCCGTCGGGGGCAGTTTGCGGCCAGGCAGGGATGAAAACGCATCAATCTGCCGGGCCGAGGTGGGGGGAAAACCTCTAATAAAATTAAAAAGCGAGCGCGGACAGAAAAGCGACGAGCTGACGGTGCCGCAAGGAGCCACCCGCTCCGGAGGCACCGGCTCGAACACGAAGGCTCCGCCGCGCTCAGCGCCGGAATTGACATAATTTATATCCGCTGCTCTTCATCATTATTTCTGTCTATTATTTATTTTTATTTCATTATTTTTTTAGCGCCGGGGTTGAATCGCTCTGGAAGGAGCTCGGAGCGGGGGAAGGTACCCGCAATTCCCCCACTCCAAACCGTCCCCTATTAAAATCGGGCGCCCCAGCGCGGCCCCCGCTCCCCCTCTTTTCCAGCCCGGGCTCTATTATTTTTAACGAGCGAAAAGCGGCCGGGACGGCTTTAAATAAAAAGAGCGAGCTGGGGAAGGCTCTACCCCAAAACAGCATTCGCGAGCAAGAGGGCAATTTCGGCTTTTTAAACAACCTTGTGCCTTCCTTAAATTACTATTTATTCTGCGGCCGCTCCGTTTTGGAGACTTTTAATTTACTTAAAATTTTCAGGATTTTTTTTTATTTTTCTGAGCGGGGGGAGAAGAGGGAGCCGTTGGCAAAGCGCAACCCCGGGGGCTGCATTTGCAGGAGGAGCAGCTGCCTCTTTCCCCACTCCCCCAGCGCCGTTTTAAAGAAAAAAAAGAAGAAGAAAAGGGGAAAAAAAGAAAAAGAAAAAGGGAAAAACCCCCAACATCTGCCCCGGGCGCTGCGAAGTTATTTCCTCCCCGCGCCGCGCTCCGCGCTCCCCCGTGCCCCTCCAGGGGAGCTGGGCTGCAGGGGGAGCCCCGGGCCGGGCCGCGGGAGAAGGAGATAAACAAGCGAGGGGGTTGATAGCTGTCATCATCACCATCATCATGGCTTTCATTTGGCTGCCTAATGAGTCAGATCAGAGGCAGAGAGAAAAATTGTCAATCGCCCCGGCTCTAATGAATTTTTTTGCAAATTGTAATCAAGCCAGGCCGTCTCAGCTCGCTGATTAATGAGACCCAGGAGGCCCGGCCAGCACCTCCGCTTTTTATTCCATCCCGTCCTCCCCGCACTAAATTAACAGCAACTTGTCTGAGCTTCAAATTAACTCCCAATGATTAATTCTGATGGGGGGGTCTGAAGAATAGCTCGGCCTAATAGGCACTGGCCTCTGATGCTGTTGGAAATTAATACACTTCCCCTTTGGCTGCCGGCTTTAATCCAAGGTTGGGTTTTGACATCACTATATTTGTTGTTACAATAAATTCCTCTTGCATCTGCGCATCAAATAGCGGCAGCGCTCGGGGTGAGGGCAGCGGCCTGCTCCGCACCAGCCCAAAGGTGGAGGGGGGGATGCTCCCCACTGGCCCCTCTGAAAAAAAAAAAAAGGAAAAGAAAAACCCCGCAATTATGGGATTTTTAAGCCTCTTTCTAGTCAGTCTGTCCAGGCGTGCGGCCCACATCATGGTTCCTCCCTCCACCTTTAAATGAGACATCACTGCTTTTAAATCCCCCCTCACGGTGGGGCACCCCAGGCAGGGGCAGGGCGGGCAGCCTGGGCCTTGCTGCCGAGACCTTGCAAACTCGGCGCACGCAAGACGCCGCCGCCACGCGCCCGGGCCGAGCCCCCTTCCTCGACAGGGGCAGCGCTGCCTCCCGTCTTGTTTCTTGTTTGCACTGACTTAATTGCTTTAATTATTGCG